GGGGGGGTAAGAACGAGAGTTGGAGTGTGAAGATGTCATGTCGATCAAAGGAGCACACCACACTGTCTAAATAAACACGGAAAAAATCTTAATAGTGAAGACATGATAGGATACTACCGGAAATGCGAATAACCCAGGGCAGAAAGGGTGACACCATAATTGTTTAGCATACGTTTGGTCAAAGGATCGGCTTCACTTGTCTCTGACGAGTTGTTGTATGGTACTAAGGATGGTGATACTCACTGACGATGCCAGGGAAACGTTTGGGAATGTACCACGTCCACGGTTCAACTTTGGATATGACCATGCAGACAATGGACTACGGACTAGCTGCGTTCCTCTAGGTCGTCCTACTAATATGACCATGTTGCGAAAACAAGGTTAAACAACCTCTATACAACGAAGGGAGATTGAAACCAAACAAAAGGCCACATTATCTTGGTCTTCATACCTTCGATCTCTTTCTAAATTACCCTTTTCTCTAATGATGAGAGCATCCATAAAAGGTAAAGACTTATTCTCTTCCTTTTCTATCGTGAACCTAATGTTCCTTTCATACTGGTTGAGTGAAAGTAGGAAACTATCTAAGCTGTCTTTACCATGAGGCCAGATGACAAAATAGTCATCCATATATCTAACCAATAATTTGGGGGTTAGTATTGCAACTTGCAGGAAGTGCTCCTTCAGTCTTGCCATATAAGGGAGTCAGGCAAGATCCCATCGCTAGTTCTTGTATTTGTTCGTATAACTTACCATCAAAGGTATGATATGTGCTACTCATGATTAGGTTAATAAGTCTAATTATGGAAGCTACACTCAGCCTTATTCCTTGTGTTTCACCTGGATGCTCCTCCAGAGTTTGTATCAGAGTTTGAACAGGAATTTTTGCGTACATAAGCACAACAGCAAAACTTACTAGCCTATACTTCTCTGAAAGTGTCTGCTGATCAATCAATTTCACAAAATAATAAGAATTTTAACTGAATATAGCCAAAAATTGACATCTTTCTTTAGTTGTCTGCATGAAAAACGTGAGGTTTTATGCATCATGCTTCCTTTATTATTTACAAGCTTAAAGGAACGCCTTAATTGTGAACCTTATAGAGACCGTAAGATATAGGACCCTTGCATCTCCCTGGAGTAGTTAATTCATTTACCACCCCTTCATTTCACCATTACTTACGCAAACCTTAAGGGCATCCTTTAGCCTAGTCTTAAGTATTTCTGCTGGATCTCTCAATAAAGGCATGCGTCAATGTCATTTTAATGAACAAGCATTGGACGAAAGCTCAGACCGTTTTTACCCGAAACGAAGGTCTCGTGGACGTCAACCTGAATGTCGTATAAAAGCTAAACAGCTGCACTACGAGATTCATCCATCATCTTCAGGTGAGATCGACCTACAAAACTCTTCTTTATGCACTTTCATACGAAGTTAAAGTCCTCGCAATAATGTAGTTTGATGAAATTCATCGAAACCCAGTTTCTCTTCGTATCTGCAGCAATTATGTTAAGTCAACCAAAAACAGCTAAAATAAATTAAGGTATCCAATGCTTACATTTTTTGATGGGAGACACAAAAATAGGATAAAATATTTATATAAAAAATTGTTCTGCCACTTCGGTTACTGATTCTGACTGTTGTTATAAATCAAAACTCTTGATGAGTCTTAGTTAAGCTGATAAACACAATAGCCCTCTAACCAGCGTGAACCAAGATGGCCTTGCGACAATAAATGTTTTCAAAAGAAGCCCACAAATTAAAGATGCTGATCATTAATACTTCTTTTGCCTACAAATGTTTATCCATATAAACTAAGAGTAGTATGCAGCATGTGAATTATTAATAGGGCCTGTAAAATGGCAGATAACATAGCAGAAATATAAGCCATAC